GTCCAAACACTAGTCAGTATAATAGCTACCAGCCATTAACTGTCCATGGCATATCAATAACTCACATTTATGTGTATTCTTCTTGAATCTTTACCAGTCATGCTTGATAAAAACAAAACAAAACAAAAACAAAGTAAAGGAGGTTAATTTGCTTCCCCAAGTTTCTACAACTAGATAGTCAAGCCTTATACTTATTCAGATGTGTGCTGTGGACCATTATGCTATATTGCTTTTGGCTACCTGCAGTCTTGGACAATGTTAGTAGAATCTTAGCATAATAAAATTGGCAACTTTCAGAACTTCTGTCTTCTCCACACTGAACTTGAAGGCAGTTCAGTGATGGTTGTATGGTGCTCTTACATGGGAAGCAGAAGTATTTTTGCTTTTTTTTTTTTTTTTTTTGCATTTTGCTTTTTTCGATTCAAAACCATTAGATTAATGCCACTTTCTTTTTTAAATAGAGTAGCAATAAACATGGGAATGCAGGTGTCTTTTTGAGTCAGTTTTTTTGTGTCCTTTGGGCAGATACCTAAGGAGTGGGATTGCTAGGTCATATGGAAGCTCCTTTTTTTTTTTTTAAGCAGTTTGAGAAACCTTCAACAGCTTTCCATAGGGGTTGTACCAGTTTGCATTCCCACCAGCAGTGTAGGAGAGTTCCTTTTTCTCTATATCCTCAGCAGCATTTGTTGTTGATAGTTGTTTTAATATTTGTCATACTCACTGGTGTGAGATGGTATCTCATTGTGGTTCTCAACAAATTTCCATAACCCTCTTTAACCTTTGACTTGCTTGACTCTTGAAAATGTGTGCTGACTTAGAAGATGTATAGAACAATACAGAGACCTCTCTGCTTTACCTTAGGCTGGCTTATAAAACTGGCTTATAGGACAGAGTTAAATAGAGCCTCTGTAAACCACGCAGAGGTTTTTCTTGGGAGGTGTAGGAATTTATGGCTGAAGTGTCTTGATCCATTTTAATAGACTGGCAAAAGCCAAGGAGAAGATGGGAGAAGGAGGATGTGACAGTTTTCCATGTGTTGTATTGACACTGGATAATTTCCTTCTTTTGAGAAAAAAAAAACATTAGAAACTAGAAGGATCGTCTCCATCAGGGTAAGCTACAAAGAAATAATTGATACACAACTCTTTTTCTTTTCCTTTTCTTTTTATCTTTCTACCTCCATCCTTTTCCCCACCTACCCTCTCCCCCTTGCCTATGGTAGTTACCAATAGGTTGTCTTAGATTTTTTTTTAATCCCTTTTTTAGGTTCCACATATAAGGAAGATTATACGGTATTTATCTTTCTGTCTGACTTAGCTCACTTAGTATAATGTTCTTGAGGACCATCCTTGTTGTAGATGGCAGGATTTCTTTTTTGTGACCAAACAATATTCCATCATTCCATCTCTTGTCTCCATTTGTCCATTGATACACACTTGGGTTTTTTTCCAAGTATCTTATCTGTTGTCAGTAAAAAAGCTTCATTGAACATGAGGGCTCATGTATCTTTTTGATTAGTGTTTTAATTTTCTTCAAATAAGTACCCGTAAGTAGAACTGCTAGGTCACGGGTAGTTCTAATTTAATCATCTGAGGAACCTCTATACTGATTTCCACAGTGGCTGCACCAATTTACAATCTCCCCTTTACATCCTAGACAACACTTGCTTTTTCTTTTCTTTTTGATCACAGCCTTTCTAACAGGTATGAAAAAATATCTCCTTCTCACTTTGATAATGAATATATTGGACATCATTAAAATAGTTTCCCTTTCACTTGAGATCCAAAAGTAAAACAGATTTCCCTTCCCAAGCATAGTGATCACTTAGGAAATAAGAAACAATAAAAAACCTACAGCTCAGTGTGTGTGTGTTGTGTGTGTGTGCATGCCCACACAGGACCCGCTTGATGGGTTCCCTCTATTCACATGCCCACCTCTTAGAGTTGCTCACCTGTCTTACAAATGACACCTTTTTAGAGACAGTAGAACACAGAAGTTGTTACTGTGATTCAGCTTCGCATTTACACTTGAGGCAATAATAGAAGGTATTTTTAGTTTAAAGTGATCAGTAAGCATTCATAGTCATTAATAATCTATCAAAGACATTTCTTCTTTCTTACACCTTAATTTCTGGTCATTTCTATTTTTTATCAGAAATTATTTTCCATCTCCATAAAAAATTTATAATTGAGCATTCTAGCTCTTTTCTGTAGAAACTTTTCACTCAGTGTCTTGCAGTGTTTTAGCAAAGCTGTGCCACGGACTGCATCCTGATAGGAAAGAAAAGATAAATGCACAGCACAACAAAGTGAAGGCTGTATATATTTTGCAAAGCTAAGCAAACCTACTGTGGCAGCCTCTTTAAAATTGCTAACACTTTGGCCTATATACATTGAATATTTGCTACATTCCCTTGTACTTCATAGCTAATCATAGTGCCTCCATCCTGGGCTTAACTTAGTACTGTTATTTATCAGTGTCTTTACTCAATGATGCAAAACCTTTACTGCATATGTGTGGCTTGCAGACCTGTGTCTTCTTGTTCTTTATACTTCTGCTTCTGGGGTTTGTTTTGCTTCATTAACGATTTATGTTTTTGCTCTCAGTTGTGTTTAGCATGCCATAAAGCTGGATGTCCACAAATGCATGAAATGATCAAAATGTCCATTACGCAGCTCCTCACTGCCCTGTGTCTTCGTGCGTCCCCTGGCGGTCAGGGGCCTGTGGCCTTTCACCAGGTATTTGGCTTGGCCAATTGAGCCTCTGGCAGAGTTGAAGCACTGAGGCTTCTCAGTGTCAGTGCTGCACTATGAAAGCAAAGGGCATGGGAGGTAGAACTGTTATTAGAGATACTAAAAGAAAAAAATTGTTGACGTCTTTCCCAAGAAACTCAGCCTGCCTTTGGACTTGCTTCTCTCTTAGCCTTGCTGATTCAATGTGCTCTTTTTAGCACTGTATTGAGATCGAGAAAGGAAAATAATCACAGAGTGGTAACTATAGGCCTTGGATACAGTAGTCAGGTGTTTAATGGAAATCCAAGGTCTGTGAGCCTTCCTAGTTTACCAATTTATTATTATTATTATTGTTATTATAGCAGGTTTGAGAAACTTTGCTTTAGAATATGTCAGGAGAGCAGATAATTTCTGTCTGGGCACCTGATGATATAGAGTCCATGATAATTTTTCTGTTTAAAAGGATACCTTCTGTCAATTTCAGTATTAATACGCTCAACTTTAATAGAACAGTGACCATTTTAGTTTAATGCATTTTTGTTGTTTGGTTTTTTTGTTTGTTTTTGCTAATAGTAAACATGCCTACCATTTCCCTTAAAAAAATGTCTTTTCTCAGAAAAATACCAGATGGTTTCACTCATAGCAGAAGTATAATGGACCAGGCGAGAAAATAACAAAAATAATGAACAACCATATACCAGAGACATTTTGCAGGGGTGGAGTGGGGAATGGGATCAAAAACAAGGGGGGTGGGGAGGGAAGTGCACGGGATTATGGTGATGGCACACGGGTGACTTGGTGATGGGAAACCCGCGGGGATTACAATTGAGATGGGAAAAAAATGTACAAAATGATGTAAAAATAAACTGTTATAAATTTTTTTTTTAAAAAATGTCTTTTCTCATCAGGAACTAAACACTAAAAAATGGTGACTTTAAAAGTCAAAGCAATACATTTGGTGTTTGAGAAGTTCTTGTCTATTTACAACACTGTGCATCACATAAGATCCTATTCCTCATCTGTAATGGCTCTCAAGGCTCTAAAATACCTACTCATATTTACTATATCTAGGACTTCAAATCCCTTCCCAAATTTACAATGTCAGAGTATAGAGATCTTAAGCATCATCACTTACAACATTTCTTGGAGAGTTTAAGATTTAGGGAACTTAAATTCTGAGGGGCAAATAACACTATGTGCCTAATTATACAGTGGGGGATTCACTCATGAGAATGAAATGCCACATCATTTAGATGGGTTTGTAAGTTTTTGAAACCACTTCATCACATGCAAAAGGAAAAGCCTTTCTTGATTAAAGCACCTTTGTTCTGTATATGTATAACTATATGTTCAGGTGCCTTATAATACATGATCATTTGAGAAAAAATATCTAAAATTGATTTGTCCTAAATGATACCTTGAAACAAATTATATAACATGCTCTTATTTTTTTAACTTGAATTAATCTAAGCCAGCTTCCAGTTACACTTTTGAGTTTTAAATATGTATTTAGAATATTAATTATTCAGTAGGAGAGAAAAGAAAATATTTTCTTTTACCTAATTTTACCTACAGAATTTTATGACGAGAACTGGCAGAAACTCTTGCCAAGTAGCAGCAACAAAGGTTACCTTTTATTCTATCCTATCTCAGTTATCAATCATCAGCTTAAAGGTGTCTTAGTAAGTGACAACCCTGTATTTTCATTGCAAATAATCTTGGAACTGATCTTGGATCTGTCCTAGATGTATAATTTAGGTATATTTACATTATATCCCTTATTTTTCTTCTTGTGGGTTTAAACATGCTTGGTAAAATTAAAAGGATACGATGTCTTATGGAGAGGAAAAAGTAGGCAAAGCTAGCAGAACGGCTTTCCTGACCCTTTACCCACACTACATAACTAATGACTTAATGAATTCTGTTCCTATTCTGCTGTGGAGGCAGCTTTCTGATTAATTCCAGCCACCAGAGTTCTCCATAGAATTATTTGGCCTATCTAGCAATCACTAATTTGCATTCTTCTGTGATACTCAAAAGAATGAGCTTCTAAGAGTGGTAGTGTATAGGGAAATACTGCTTTTCCTCAGTGCTGAAAAGGAAGGTCTCAAGAATTTCAAGTATTTTTAGGATTTGTTGATGAGTCCTGAATCAGGCTGACTTTCTATTTGAGAGGAGCTTAGTATCCTCTCTGGCTAATTCCAAAGCATGTTGGTAATGAACTGATATCTACAGAGCATGTGTGTTGCTATCTTATTTCTTTACCAGGTGTGCGTTGAGACTTACGTTGGTAGCTGTCACCAGCGCAGTATAAACACTGCCGTGCGGGCAACTCTCAGTCAAATGCTGAGTGACTTGACCTTACAGTTACGGCAAAGGCAGGAGAACACGGTGAGCCTTGCGGTCTCCACACGTTCATCCCAGTCTTGCTGGTGTCTCTGTGTGTCACTGCATGCCACGTGTCCCTCCACAGCCCTCCTGCCAGGGCGGCTTCCTGCTCACACAGTGCTCGGTTTAGAGGAACATAGGTAGGTAAGTTGGTGGGAGGGTCGGTAGGCAAGCACATAGAGCGAGCCCTTGATGTTTCTTTTTGCTTGCTTCACTCCAGATTTTTCAGTTGTTTTTCCCTATGGTTTCTATCGTTTCTTAGTCATTATCTTCAAATTCACTCATTTTTTAAATTAAGTTTTAAAACATTTCAGACAGAAAATTTTTACATACAATGTTGTGTTACATAAACAAATGCTAGAAGCAAGTTTAAAAATAAGAAAAATGCGTCAGTTAATTACAAACTTGGAGGTTTCGTATATGTTTCTCTTCATTAACTAAAAGATCATAAGGCCTCCCACCTGCAAATGTCACCGGCTAAGACTGAGCTTGTCTTCTCTCTGTCGTCCAAGCCCACTCAGCTTTGTGCTGTCAGCTAGAGCAGATTGCCTGAAAGAAGCATTCCCAGAAAAAAAAAATGTAAATGTAATTGGCTTCTTGTATTTATTATATTCTGGGAGTGTTAATGAGATGATTCCTCTTCAAAATTGGTGGGTTTGTTTTCTAAATCTGCCTCTGAAAATTTAGGATAAAATTATTTTAAAACCTATGAGAAATGCTCTGAAATGACTACATCATTAATTTTTTAGACTAGAAAATCTCAGAGGCAGTTTGAAAAAATCTCAGAGGTTAAGATTTCATGTTTAATTTCACTTATTTCTAATTTTCACATTCAGTTATTTTCCAGTTTTTAGAATACTGTGGAGTTGAATGGAACCTCAAATCCTTTTATTCCTCATTTTACAGCTTAGAAAAGTGAAGCTCAGAGAGATCAAATTGAAATATAGAATGAAAGATTTATCAGTGAATGAGCCAGAACTAAACCCCTCATCTCCTCACTGACCCCCAGTCCAGGTTATTCAGATGTGCCCAGGCTTCTAGTGTTAGAAAAACAGTATTGATTTGAAATATATATATATATATATATATATATTGATTTTTATGTATATGTTATATACAAAGCCTAAATTTCTATTTAAAAATTATTTTATCTTGAGAGATTTTTATTCCCTTAGCTTACCCTTTGTTAGAAATCACTTCATTTAAACTAGGACTTTGAATATGGTAGTGTGGGAAGGTTAGTTTAAAAGAATTCAACTGTATATACAAAATACTAAGAAAAAATAATTTTAATGGCAATCAGCTAAAGATACTGAGACTCTTTATAGTAATACCCAATCACAGTCCATTTTGCTAAGTGGCAACTTGCTAAATACTGTAAGAATAACAATATTTTGATGCTTATGGTGAAACATTTCAATGAAACTTTGTCGTTTAAAAGAGATGTCAGTCACATTAGTTTATTTAATTGCATTTAAAAAAAAAAACAACTTTAGGAAGGAGAGTATTAGATTTCAAGTAAACTGACTCAACCCTTTATTTAGTTTATGTTTTCTCTTCCCTGTGAGGAACAGCCAGAATAGTGCAGAGGTCTGAAGAGGTTAAGGGTTATCTCCTCTGTGCCTTGTGTTTGTATCTAATCAGCCTTCTGGTCCTGCACTTTACTGACCATCGGGACTCACCCGAACCCAAGATAGGATCCTCAATTAGGTGGAAAATTAGTGTTTCCTTTTATTTCCTTTCTATTCCTCATGTAGCTCCTGGAGATGTTTCCATGTCCCCGGGAAACACAGTTCTCAGGATGCTATTTGAGGCCTATTAGAGGGACACAGAAGTTTTGCCACCAAATGATTATTATTTAAAAGTCATTAATGGAGAGTATCTTTAGGAATGGTGAGACTTGCTCTAAGGAGATCACAAATTGGAAGGTGTACATTGCCTGGCCCATCACTGGAGAGATAACACAAGTCACCTCTAAATGAGAGACTTAAATAGCATGGAAAGAAATAAATCTAGAATGTCAGGCGTATTAGCATAAAGTGTGTCTTCAACCCATGCTCCCAAGACACTTTAAACAAATTGATTTTGTATTCTCAGATATTCTGAATTAGTGTCAAGCTTTATTATTGAATTATATAGTGACCAAAGCCACTGTTAATTTGTAAACTTCAGTTAGCAAGTTTGCTACTTATAAATACTTGGGGGTAAGGGATAGTAATTCTTCCCTTTAAAATGTTTTGGCCATATCTCCTCCAGAAACTTATTCTAAATTTGAAATCGACCATGCAGTGAGTGACAGACATTGAGGTAGCATTTCACAAAGATGTGTGGAAGTACCAATGTTTGCAAATTAATGAACAGAAGAGGAAATCTGCACCTATAAAATTATAGTTTAGGGAAAATAAAATAACAGTGCATGGGATCATTTTACAGGTTTGGGAGTCCCAAAAATGCCCTCTTATGATTTCCCTGTACAAAGAAATGGGGAGATTCCAATGCTTCCTTCCCACTTTTGGCTCAGTAGTCACTGAGTTCTCCCTGCCATGGGAAGTCAGTCTTACTAAATAACTTTACCCTCCTATTTTCCCTCCCCCCACCCCTAAAGGTCTATCTCTACCCTGATAGCTTTGGATCTAGAGTGGATGATCCGATCAGACTGTTGGAAGAAGTTAGTATGGAGCCCAGAAACCTAATCATCTTATGACTATGAGTTTGTGTTTGTTGTGTCAATCACAGTGGAGTCTGTGACCTTAGGGCACATTGTTCCCTGTGCTGCAGCCACTCACCTGTTCAGGAAGACACTGCCCCAAGTCATAGCTCAGCACCTTGAAATGACAAAGCACGCCATGGGCTTAAACTTTGGGGAAGTTTGTAGACCTTTGAATGAATTATATTTGGAACTCATAAGCACAGTTCCAGACATCCAAGTCTTTCCATTAATACCAAGCACTGGAGAGGGCACATAGGTAAGTCAGCTGAGGTCAGAACACTCAGCATGACACTTTGCTTCCTAGAATTTCTCACTGCCTGAGACTCAAGATTTTTCTTGCCTGAATCTCCTAATTGTCCTGTGTGTCTCCCTTGCTAGATAATTGAAAACCCGGATGTCCCACAGGAATTCAGGAATCAAGGTATTGGATTTGCTTTTCACTAGTTTGGCTTGAAAAAACAGGCATGAGACTGCTCTGTGCTTGCTGTTGGGGCTGACAGTTGAGTAGTTCTCGGTTCACTCACCATTCTCCTCAAGCTAGTACTTAATCAGCTGCTGTCTTCCTTCCTTTCCTCGCTCCATGCCAACCACACCTGTCCTGCTTCAGCTCTGTCCAGGAAGTTAATTCTTCACAGACCTTCTTGTTTGTAGACTTTTTTGGAAAAATTACTTCATTCTGCCTGAAGTCAGTTTTATTATTTGTTAAAATGAAAATTAGTTTGTAGAAGTCTGATTGATATACAGTGCTGCTGCTGCATGAGAAGTATGTTTGTGAAATGCCACTTTTTATATGAAAAATGGGACATCTTTCAGGGAATCTTACAAAAGGACAGACACCCATTTTAAGTGGCAGATGAAATCAAGGTTAAAAAACACTTTCATTCTGATTCAGAGGAAAAGAAAAATAAAGGTCCACATTATAATTTACAAGTAGCTTGATTTTTTTTTTTAAGTTTGATAATATTGTTTTCTGGAAAAGATAGGAACAATTCCAATCATTTGCATAGAAAAATAAAATGTCTTAAGATCTTTGTCAATAAACTTTTAGAAACTGGGAAATCTTGCTTTTCTTTGAGATTTTTGCCAGTGAATAATGAGGAGAATACAGTAAAGGCAGAGAAGGATAGGAAGGGGAGGGAATGAAAGTGAGAGGAGGCAAGCAAAGAAATAGCCATCACCAGGCCAAAGGCAGAGATGAAAGAAATGAGGAAGAGAAATGCTCGAACTAATTTTCCAAAGTCTTACCCAAGTGTTGTTGTGTTAGTCCCATCTTGCTCCCTTCTTGGGTTGGGGCCAGAAAGCTAGGGCGCCCTTCCACCCCCTCGTTCATGCTTCATTCCTCCTTCTCTAGTCCAGGTCTCAAATGCTTCACTAAAAGGAAGTCTGAGCCCTCTTGGTCAGGGATACATTCTAAAATAGATATTAGTAAAAAAGTGATGGACTCATTTGAAGTTCAAAAATTAAGCTTAAGGACTATTTAGGGATTTACTACTTTCTTTTAAATTGTTATATATTTTGTTATCTTTCCCCCTGATTTTAATATTTAAATTCTGAGATCAGCCACTGATTTCTCCTTCTGTTCTCCAACTTTCATTTTCTCTCTTTTGCCATTTTTCTTCCATCTTTCTTGACCTCATATTAATCACTTATTTATACATGTATCAAGTATCTAGCCACTTTCATATAGATCTTTATAGGTATTTCTTACATTTTTTATAATTAAAACACTTTCACTTGTTACTTCACTTGATCTAACCTTTTGGTGATACTGGTATTATTTATCCCATTTTGACAAAGGGAATTTGGCTAATTTCTTTTAACCTAGTATAAGCTGAAATTTATCTAGCTCACAAAACAGCAAGCTGTGGAGCAGTACGTCAACAGATCCCAAATTTCCAACTTTTTCCAGTTTATACTAGGGCTTCTACAAGGGCTTATATTGCTGGTTTTTAGACATGAGTGTATTTGGAGGGACAATTCTTTTTTTCTAATTCTGGTTATTGCTCCCTTAGCAGCAAAAATCATGAGCCCTTGACAATGCTGGGAAAGGAAGTAGGTGAGGATGGGGACTAAATTATTTTGCCCCCTTTCTCAAGTTTGCCAGTTCAAAAGCCCACCTTTCTCCCTTATTGCCATAGTCTATCTGGAATACAACTCAGATCTGCTCAGCTGACCCAGAAATTCAAGAGATATGAAGAAGGGATACATGTGTATATATGGTCTAATGGCCTGAATATTGGGGAAATTATCATACATTATTTCTTAAATTAACCAAATCTTCCTTCAGTAAGTGTGAATTTTATTTATAATAAGACCATTCTGGTATTGTCTTTCTGGACTCCCTTTTGAGTGTCTTACTGTGGGAAAGAGTTGTTATATTTTTTCCTGTTATTGACTTGATGGTCTGATCCTTTTGTAGTCTGGAAAACATCCTGAGTGAAGAATGGGAGGGCCATGAGGGAGCTTTAGTGCCCCGGCCAACATTTAATGCCTGTAACCTCCTCTGTTTGAAGGGTTGACAGTCGAGGCCCTCTGTGATGACCTTGTGTCAGTGCTCTCTGTTCTGTGTGAGAAGCTACAAGCCTCCATCAGGTAAGTGCCTTCAGTTTCATGCTATTTCTGAGGGTTGTCTACAGCATCACTTAAAGTTGCCGCTTACAGGGACAATGGTTCCCCGTTGGTATTTGCCTGTCATTCCTGAGAAATACAGGCCATGCCTCTGGCAAGCCCACATTACCAAATATTTTTGCTGAAGGATATAATTTTATAATGAGAAAATAGGAAAACAACACCTTGCAAAGAGTTAACCTCTGAGTATGGAATTTCATAGAAAGAGTGGCGGCTTAGAGCTAACTGGTGTGAGGGCTGGTCTTAACCCAGCTGGGGGGCTCCCCATGAATCTTCTCATCAAACTGTGTTGCGCTTCCTGTTAAGTGACAGCATTGAACTATGAGGTTTTCTCTATTTCTCCTGGCATCTCTTTCTCTTCTAACAGCCCCTGGGTGTCTGAGCTCGCACACCTCTCTTTAAAAAGAATGTTATTCTAAATTTTACATGCTTTACATTTTTTAACGCCAGCCCCATCTATGACCTTGTTTACATCCGTGATGGCACTCTCCTGCTCTCCATGCCAGGGGCCAGAGAGAGACCGTGTGTAGCTGTAGTCGAGCCAAATCCTGAAAAAGCCAGGCTCTCTGAGATGACAGAAAAAATCTTTACTAGCTGCCTCTATGGTTACTTGCAAAATCCCACAGGCCTGTATGATTCTGAAGTCCTTTTGAATTATAGGAGATATATTAAATAATGGTTTACTGGTAACAGGGACGTTTGGCAACACTGAAATCTTTTGTTTTTAGAGGTTTATTTCTTGTAATGAGCGGGGAGCAGTTGTCCAGTCAGAAGCATAGACAAGCGTTGAGCCTTGCTGGAAGTATCGCAGCATTATTTTGGTTTTGGTTTTCAGAAACTCAAGATTGCTTTTAATGTAAGCTTGAATTTACCTTTAAAAGTCAGTGCCAAGTGGTTTCTATATCAATCTATCCATTCTTCCTCCAGGTCACCTGCATATTTCACCAAATTAGAATTATGTCCAAAAGAAAGAGCCGTTTTTCCAGACCTTCCAGTTTCTCCCACCCCTGAACCTCGGGCAGGCCGCAGATCCTGGCAGTATTTTCTCGCAGGAGGGATGTGTCTGACAGCAGATGGGTTGTAAACCACTCCACCTGTACGCTGTCAGGTCCCCATCTTTGCTGGCCATGAAGAGCTGAGGCAGTAGGACTGGGGCTCAGATCATTAGCTGAACCTGAGGCCCATCTGTAGGGTCCCCACACAAACTGCTGTTCCTGGCACAATCCCAGATTATGTCTGTGGTGTATGATTACAGTTGCCCTTCTTCACTCTCAACAGCACCCTTGCTAGCACTGGGTATGTGCCCACTCTCCCCATCCATGACCAAAGTCTAGCTCCTGCTAACCTCTGGCTGTTTCTCTTCATCCTCACAGAGCCAGCTGCTATCCTCACAGAGCCAGCTGCTATATTCAAACCAGGCTGTGTTTCTCACTGACTTGCTTTCCTAAGATGCAGGCATATGTGATATTTAATCACAGCTGACCCAACTGCATTACTTTGCCGGGTTACCTGGATGGGACCTTGTTTGCCCCTTACTAGATGGTGACCTTGGGCAAAGCTCAGACCCACTCTAGGCTTATGTCTCCTGAAAAATAATTAATATACTATTTACTAGTATACTTATCATGTGGTATGGCACATAATATTAATAATATAAAGCATATTAGGAATTTTTTTAAAAGATTGATTATGCATACAGAACTGGGGTACAGGTCACAGGTACGGGGCGGTGAGAGGAAGAAGGAGCCTAGAAACCAACCAACAGCTTCGGAACACACTAGGGCAAATTGCCTACTTCACAGAGTTATGAGTCACTTTGCTTACTAGTCTTTTGAGTAACTAAGCATTTCATGGCTGGCAGGTTGAGTATCTGGTCTCATTCTTTCCTCATGCCCGAGTTCCTCCCAGGGTTCATGGTCCATGGAGAGCAACTAGAGTGAGGGTACCCGTGGGCCATGAGGCCCGGCAGCTGTCCATCCCGGCAAGGTCACCGTTAGGACAATCTGGCAGCATGTCCTGGACCCCTGGAATTTTTAGATTTTTCTTGTGTTTTGAGCCATTTTCACTTTGCATCCCTTAGAGACATAATGGAGTTTGTAAAAAGGGCCAGAGTGTGTTCGTTGTATAAGGTACAGAATAGAATCAGAAAATACAGTCCAACCACTTAGCCTCGCCTCATTGATTCTAAGACTGTTTGGTAGAGATTCCCCTGACATTCTTTGCTGGAAGGAGCAAGAAGAGAAGGGAGGGGACGTTGGAGACAGACAGGCGAGAATGATTATTTTTTAAGCCCAATTATCCTTCCAAAAATTCTTGGATTTAAGCAGCCTCGTGTAACTCAGCTTGCCTAATATAGAGCTCTATTAGCACTGTAGTTCCAAGGCATGTGAGTTACTCTGTGATCTGCAGTCATTTTTCCGAATCCTCCTGAGCCTGAACATATCATGAATACTTGCAAAGCTAATGAATATATAGAGTCAAAGCCCTAGGAGACAGCTGGGCAGATTTTGGACATGCTTTTTGAGGGATTGTAATGACCTAAGTATGATTTCAGAGGGAGAAATAAAAATAAAAGGAGTAAGGTAGGAAAATTGGAAGAAATGTAAAATCAGTGAAAACAGAGAACAAATGAATCAACAAAAGTGAGTCCAGCTGAGACCACAGTACTCTCTGACCAGTGGCTTCAAAGTCTCAGGGTAAACCTGCATGCCCAGCTTATTTAACAATAAAATCCCTACCATATGGTAATGGAGTCCTGAGGGAAAAGACCATAAAAAAGCAAATGAACAGCTTCTAGAGGCAGAATTATGACAGGGCAATTGCACTGAAAAACTAAACAAGACTTTGAGAATCAATAAAAGCCACTAAGCTCCATGACAAAATGCCTGAAGCCATGTTTGACTCAATATACAGTGAGAATCCCTAGGAAATCATATTAGTGTCACATGAACTACTTTCCCATGGAAAGCCTAACCTCCAGTCACATGGTTCTGGAGCACTTTCACTTTTTTCAGTGACTGATAGTCTGTGAACTTCGCTTGCAGTGGGTGTAGGTGTGCACGTGCAATGTGTTTCCGTAGAGTATTTTCCTAACACTCTACAATTAAATTTCTGATATAAGAAGTTCAATATTCACAACTGCACCATAAGCCAGAAGTAGCACCAACAATTCTGAAAGCAAACAAACCACATCAAATATTTATTATGTGCTGAGCAGAAAAAAATCCACATACAGCAGTACTTCCCAGAAGATATCAATACTGAATGCCCCTAGCAATTGCACAATAGGCATTTCCTTGGACTACTTCAGGTAAGCCAGGTCATATGGCCACCTTACAGATGGAGGCTCCCTGGAGTTGCTGTTGGGACCACCCTGGTTTAAAGAACCTAAGCCCCAGGTACCACGTGCACTAACTGAAGACTTTTTCCCAACCAGTTAACAATGGTATGTTTTAATGCCTTCATTTATAGGCCTCCAAACTCACTGTAAATGTATCCTGAAGGCCAGTTTTTCATTATTAACAGCATAACTACCATAAAATATACCCACCCTTTGAAACATTTATAATTTTTAGTTTTTTCCTTTACCAAATTGCTCAGAAAGAAATATTTAGGTTTTTGTTCTCCCTTATCTCTAAAGTAATGAACAACACAGCTTTTATATTTTTCAAAGTTTTGTTGGCCTTTGTTTTATTTCCTGACAATGCAAGTCCTGCAGGGAAAGGGGTAGAAAGGACACATGCTTGACAGCTGGCATCTGCCTAGGTCGCTACCAACGTGTGCACCCTACTAAATTTCACAGTGTTAACATCAGATAAGGACTCTCCACCATGGTGAGGGAACAAGAAGAAAGCCAATCGACAGCACACCCAAAAGATTAAAAAATGACCCTGTATAACCACACAAATGGCCAAATCTCCCCCTCGTCTCTTTGTGAACCTACTCCCAGGTGATGAGTTATCTACATTTTTTCAATGACAGCTATAGCTCCCATGTGCTCCCTCACCAAGATGAGCAAATGCTGGAGTTGCTCCTGCTTGCTGAGTGCACCTGAGTGTACCTTCTGCTCCTTTAACCCATCTATCAAGTCGGGGTCAAATCCTCTGACAGGCTGACTCACACCCATTTGCAGCGTGCCCTGTGGCTCTCACAGTGGACAGGCTGCCTCACTCATGAACTTAACTGTGTTCACCCATGGGTCTCTGGTGATCTCTGGCTGGTGGCTGCCGGGCATCAGTCTTTTAAGTGAATGTTTTCATTGATCCTTATATTGGGCCCTTCCTGGTGGCACAGCAGGTTAAAGCACAGTACTAAGAAGCTAAAGCCACTTCAGCATGAGTTCAATCCCCACCCGGGAGGTGATCCACAGGCGCGGCAGACCTCTCCTGACCCACCCGCTGCTCCCCTCAGCAGTGCACTTTTTCAGTCAGCCTGTTCTGCTCCCCACTCTGTCTCCGATGAATCCCTGTGCATTGTCCATATCTGTCTGTAGTCAGACAGGAACTGCACGTGCACGTGCATCATGCATGTGTGTACCTGGTGAGGGCCATGTGTGGCAGGCGCCCAAAGTTCCTTCAGCTCCTTAAATGACATGACTCATGTAAGGCCCCAAGCACCCATATTTCCAGACTGCTGCAGCCCACAGAAAAGCTGCTACGTTCTGTCTCCAAGGAGACTGCCAGGCCAGTTGCCGTGGCAATACCTTGCGCTGTCATTGTATCAGATGCCTTGGGGTTACCGTGACATGCTTTGCAGATAGGCACCTAGACTGCTCCTAGCTTTTCTGTGGATTTTCAGTGGTTTCAGAGAATATTTTGTGCTCTTATTTTAGTTTTGTGATGCTAGACTGATAGTTTGAGAGTGAGCCATGTTTGAACTGGGATATTTAATAATTATTTTTCTTAATAATGAGTAAGAAATTGATCAAAAAGATTAGCCTCAGATATTGAGGCAAAGGCAGTCCTTACTGAACTTATCTGTTTAAAAGTGGCTGACTACTAAGTAGCCCTCCTGTTTCACTCTCTGCAATCTATTCATTTATATAGTTTCTAGAATGATCATCCTAAAACAGAAAGGGGGTCATGGCAGTCTTCTCACAGAATAAGTCCAGATATCCTAGCACAGCACTCAAGAGCGTTCCTGACCTGGCCCCTGCCCACATACCCAGCCTACCTCTTGCTGAAGACATCTCATCCTCTGCTCCAGAACCCCCGCCCCACACACACTCAAGGAATTTATGTGACAGATTCCATCTGGCCTCTACTAAGATAATAACATTTCCTTTGGAAATTCTTTCTGGATCCTTCTAAGAAGGGTTAGATGCTGCATCTTGAGCTCTCATAAAACCTGGCGTGTAAGTATTCATTTATAACATCTCTTACCCATGCTCAATCTGCTTGCTTGCTTGTCTCTGTGAAGAAAATACTCTTTCCGGTAGGAACTGTGTTCTGTTCAGAAGGGCAGCTTATGGCCATAGGCGTGTGGGACCTTACCTGGCCTACGAATGGCTAGTGATTTCTCATCTCTTTAACTCTTCCCCTATCCAACCTGACTCTTGGCAAATGGTCATAATTTCTTAGGCACTCATCCTTTACTTATCTCTTCTGCCACCCTCAGAAGGTGTGGTTGAGTACATCCAAGTAGAAGTGGAATTGCCCTTTTTGAAATAATGGTATCACCATTTCCCGGTTAATCACTGTCCACTGAGTCATACCATTCTCTTTGGGCATGGGAGATCGTTTTAGACTATAGGTCAGCAAAAGTTTTGTGTAAAGAGCCACATCAGGTCTCTGTTTCCTTTTGTTTCTGTTTCTGTGTAGATTTACAAAGCTTTAAAAACAATCACCTTTCTTACTTCTCAGACCAGGATTTTTGCCCTTAGTCTGTGTCCTCTCAACTAGTTTTAGAACAAGTCAGTTTTTTTTTTCTTTCAGTATTTTATTTAATATATATATATACACACATATACATATATATGTATATATATAAATTTTTATTTATTTTCCATATATCTATTTGCATTATTGCTCATGTTATAGCAATGTTTATTTCCCCTCTTCCCCTCCCCTTATCACCAGAGCCCCCCACACTCCTCTCTCCTTCTGATCCCTCTCTGTCCCCTGTAGGATCTCTCTGGTTTTTACTTATCTGTCCTTGTATTGTTTCCTCCTATAAATGAAGCCATTCAATACTTTTCTTTTTCCTTCTGACTTATTTCACTGAGCATAATCCCATCCAGCGCCATTCATGTTGCTGCAAATGGCATGAGTTTATCTTTTTAGGTTGTATATATACAACAGTGTATATATACAACATCTTCTTGTTCCAGTCACCTAGATTTGAGCATTTGGATTGTTTTCCAGGATTTACCTATTGTAAGTAGTGCTGCGATAAACATAGGGGTGTATGTATTTTTTTGAATTAATGTTTTTGTGTCCTTGGGGTAGATTCCTAGGAGTGGGATTGCTGGGTCATATGGTAGCTCCATTTTTAGTAGTCTGAGGAATCTCCACACAGCTTTCCATAGTGGTTGAACCAGTTTACATTCCTACCAGCAATGTAGGAGAGTTCCTTTTTCACCGCATCCTTGCCAACATTTGTTGCTGTTCATTTTTTTTGATAGGTGCCATTCTCACTGATGTGAGGTGGTATCTCATTGTGGTTTTGATTTGCATTTCCCTGATTATGAGAGATATTGAACATTTTTTCATGTGCCTGTTGGCCATTTGCAATTTCTCTTTGGCTAATCATCTTTTAAGTTCTTCTGCCCATTTCTTTACAAGTCAATTTTATAGACACATCACAGGACATTTCACAAAGCACTCAGGGAAGATTGAAGCTCCAGCTTCCTCTTCTCTGCCTGCAGTTCACAGGCTTCCTCAGTGTGACAGTTGTGCAGCCTTAGGGTCTCTGGCCTTTGGGACAATTGGCTGTTAACTCTTCCTCCTTCCTGTTTCCTCCATGTTCCAGCCTGTCCATCACAGTCTTGCTTTCCCTTTCAGCTCCTTCTCCTGGTGCTTATTTATACTGTTTAGGGCTTCAGCCTTCTTTTTGATGTGTATTTAATGCTATTTAAGAGAAAAGAGATGCAACCAAAAGTCATTTTTAAAAGTCAATTTCTCCCTCTTCTAAATATTCTACATAGGATTCCTGAATGAATCCTTAATCTTTTAAATCTTTATTATGTATTTGTAGTAATGTCTCTTTGCACATTACATTCTTTCCTACTCCCTTCTGTCACTCTTGCTGTTCACCTGGGATTCAGCTATGTCTAGTGGTCTGGGTAGCAAACCATCTGGTGTTAGGAAAGCACATCCCATCGAGTGGTCTATTATCTCCTGTTTCTGTTGCAGAACCCCCTAATAATAATTGTGAGAAAAAGAATGTATCCATTGAAAATCATGTTGCCTTCAATAAATCAAGAAAAATTGAATGCAAGTTAGTACAGTGTTGACTAATGTAAAGATAATGTAGTGATTCCTTGAAAGGTTTAGGCAATTAAATATGCCAAGTATTAATATCTCTGGAGTAAACTGGAATTTAGTTAATAGTAGATCAATAATTGTTCTTTAACAGTAGCAAATATACCATGTCAACGAGAGATGTTATTAATAGAATAAACCATACACAGGGGTGTAAAATATGGCAACTCTATTCCATGTTCAGTTTTTCTATAAATCTAACTGTCAGAGAGCAAAAATCTGCCACTCCAAAGTAGGTCTTTCTGGCAAAAGTTGATTTTGTGGGAGAAGCTTTAAATGCTGAGAGGAGATTGCTTTTGAAAAAGGCTTGCACATGTAAAATTCTCTCCATCGGAAAGACCTGGTCTCCTTATTTCCTTTTCAGGGGAGAGGGTAGAACTGCAAGGATCTGTATACCTCCATTCCCTTCCCTCCCCCCAATCTTCCCTGACTCAGTGGAACCATTCAAGATAGGCTCTGAAGCCATGTGGTGGGCTACTCTGTCTTACTGGGTCTCCTAGGTATACAGCAGGTTTACATGATCTTACCTTCTTTTTGACTTTTTTCTTTTACCAATCTTTCTTATACCTGTTTGCTACTTGTCAGACTAAAACAAACCAACAGGGTTATGGGGTGATTTGCTTTGTGCCCAACCATTGTAAAAGTCATCCTGCTAGGGCTGACATAATTACAAAGCACACAAACCAGACGCTCTAAGTATGTATTGTTTCATGGTTCTGTTGGCCAGAGAGCAAAGTTCATGGTGTCCACAGTCAGTTCTTGTTTGGAGCTAGAAGGGAAGGATCTGTTCCAGGCCTCTTGTTTTTGATTTTTAGCAAGCCCAGGCATCATCTCCTGTGCCTCTTCGCATTGCCTTCCCTCTGTAGGTAGCTCTGTGTCCAAATTCCTCATCTTGTAGTGATAAGAAATCTAATAATCACATTGGACTAAGGCCTACTCTAGTGACCTCATTTGAACATTACCTGCATACTAAACTTTCTCCAAATAAGCTCGCATTCTCAGATAGCTGGCAAGGACTGAAGCATGTGAAGGGGGCCGGCAAGAGGGGGCCGGGGGGCAGCGCAGCAAATGGGACTCAGTTCAACCCATTACCCTAAACATGCCCCCAAATTAACACTTCTCTGATGCCTGCCTTTCTTCCAAGTGCTTTCCACATGTCACCACTTTAACTCTGCTGTTCCCCTGTGTCTGTGTGTCGGTCACCTGCAGTGACAATCAGCAGCTGCAGCTCCTGTTCCTGGAGTGCATCCTGTCCATCCTCAGCAGCTGCTCCTCCTCCATGCAGATGCACAGAGGCTTCACAGACCTGATCTGGTAAGCACTGTCTCCTGTGTCCCCCCCCCCCC